TTTGTGCTTGCTTCCCTAGGCCTAATCCGCTCTTTTTATATCTCAAAAGTGAGTAGGTTTAAAATAGGCTCTACACTGATATGGCCTCATTAACATAACAAAGAAAACTCTGTTCCTAAATGGGTTTACATCCATAGGTATAGGGATTAACATTCTAACACATATTGTTTTGGGACACAATTCAATCCCTAACAGTAATATTAGGAAATTAATAACATAAAAGTCTAAAGGTGCTTTCCCTAGCAATTCTTAGTTAAAAACTGTGTATTTATGTCTACTCTGGGGCCATCACTGAGAGGGGCAGAAGGAAGCACAGTACAAAGGTCAAACTAGGATTAGACCATGTTGGATCCACAAATGTCTTTGCCAGTAATTGAATTCAACCCTCTCATTTTACAGATGATGGACTTGAGGCCCAGACGGGTCAGTCAAGTGAATAGCTTAAGATCACTCGGAGGGTTAATATTAGAAACATCTGATTCCCACCTAGTGATGGGCCTCATTGCCGACTGATGCCTCAATATGAGACAAATCATGCGCCTATAAAATTTTTGATCTAACTAGAAGAAACAAGATATACAAATGACATAGTCAGAAAACAATACAACACAGAACAAAATTTTAAAGCTCAATAAATGTGGCCGAAGAAACATGGGCGACGAAGCCTCCAGGAATGAGTAGGTCAAACAGCCAGGCTGAGTTACAGATAGGACTGGAGCTGGGGCCTTGAAGAGTGTAAAACACTATATTGCATTTGGGTAACGCAGAGGAAAATAGCAGTGTTGCAAAATGGAATTGGGGATGATAATAACGGAGTAAATGGCTGTTGACAGTTTAAATAGCTGGGCATTACAATTTGGTGAAATATTCAACATTAAGCCTTTACTGGACAGCTTCCAAATTCTCTTAAGTATCTATAGCTTTGGGGAGGATACGAGAAGTAGATGACACCATCTCCGACCTTCCAAAGCTTTTTTATTTGGAGATAAGAGATGGGAACATAAAGAAATCATTGGAGAATGTAAGTAAATAAGGATGCAAAGGGGAGTTTCTGGAGAAGATGAATCTTGAGTTATTTCTTAGGAGATCAGTGGGTGTGGTTGGTGTTTGAAAGCATGGAGGATAATTTGTGTCATCTCCTGCATTAAGAAGAACATCTCAATATGCATGTAAGGCAAGAATATGGATTATTTCTCTGTACTTGGGTCCTTGTTAACTTCTTAACTCTTTCTCTGTCACTTCTTAGAGTAAATGAAATAGTGGATAAAATGCTTAATTAAATATGATTGTCCATACAGATTTGAACCCAGAATAGTGCCTGCTCATATTTGTGTCTGACGACTTGACACCTCTGCCTCTCATTCCCATCACATTCCTATTCTTCTGAGGGTGGATAATTGATCTGATTAAAAGAGCATAAAAGGTAAAATTAAGGAGTAATTTGAGACTCAACTCTGTTATTCACCATTCCTTCCAGCTAACCAGTTCCCAAGCCCTATGGGTTTTTGACATTCTAAATATTTCTCAGCCAGTTCTCGGTTCTCTGTATGGCATTCCCTCTGCCACTTGATTCAGATCATCACCATTTCTCACCTCACTTATGCAACAACATTGCAACTGGTGTCTAGGTCGGACTGCCTCCAGCGTCTCTGTTTTCCAATCCTCAATTCCATCTCTCCCACCTTTCAAAAACACCCATCTGCTTTATACCTCTAGTTCAAATCCTCCTAAGGTTCCTTTTAGCCTACAGGACAAAATCCAAACTCTTTTGCTTGGCATACAGAGACTTTCCTGTAGGGCATGGCTCCTGCTCTCCGTCTCATCTTTAGTCACTCCCAAACAAACATTGTGCCTCATCCATAACATGGCATGTTTCTTCAGGTCTCATGATTTTCTTTTTTGGTTTTTTACATGCTGGAAAGTTGCTCTGCTTACATAAAACTGCTGAACCCCTACTCATCCTTCAAAATCCCCTAATTTCTGATCACCTCAGCTCTGACTCCCTTTAGCATTGTTTCTGTACTGCGAATATAGCACTTTTTAGAGCTATCGCGATCGATTTTAAAGTCTGTCTTTTCTACTGAGTTGTATGCTTCTTAACAAAGCACTTTTGGGCTTTCTCTGCATCTTCAGGGATGAGGCCATAGGTCCGACGGAATCAGTGTACCTAGACAGGGGTTCTCCCTTCCCCTTGACTTGAAGAGGTAAAGAGAAGTGATTTAAGCATTTAAAATAATCGGGAGAAAGAGTGAATTAGACTTACAGAAAGCGTGAAAGATGAAAAAGAAAGGAAAGATAACATATGGCTTTGACAAGATGGCAGGGACAGAGAATTCATCAGGAGACAGTTAACTTCCAAAACAGGAAAGGCTTTCAACTGCTAAAAAGGCCAATCTATTTTCCTTCTCAGGGAAAACAACACTAATGTTATCCAAATCTTTTGGAAATGAGCAAATTCCTTCCTTTCCTCTGCCCTCAGGCCTCAACAAGCCGACTAGTTTTAAATTCCTGGTGATCTGGAGTTGGTAGCCCAGCAGGGGAGTTCACAGGCCCAGCACTGAGAGGCCCAGCCTCAGGGGCTAGCTAAGAGAACCAAGAAGAAACCCATCTTTGTTCTATAATATTTGCCTGGGGAATGACAGAGCTGACACTAAAACCCCGGAAAGCTAGTTAAAAAACCCTAAAAGTGTGGAGAAGTGGACATCCTCAGTATACAGGTTATAATGATCTGAAAGTCTTTTGAAAACACCTCGTTATAACCTAATCATAACAATCACCTGGGTGGCCAATAGCGAACCGTTAACTTGGGTCTGTTCTATTGCGTCATTCCCAGTAAATGGCACCCGCAAAGAAGTTTTGCAATATTAAGGCATGGAAGGTCATTTAACTTCCTGCTTATGAAATGAACATAAGATGATTTTATTTTAGAAAGCATTCAGATTATTAAAAAAAACAGATAAAGTCATAATTAACAGAATTTTAAAAAAAAGCCTTTCATTTCCAACTAACGTTTCCTGGATGCTTCCAAAGACCTTCTGGGTACTTAGCTAGGTAGACATTATTATATAATCCTCACCACAAGGTTTGGTTGTCGCTAATTTGCAGATGAGAAAATCGACAAGCTCAGAGGCCATAAGCACCTTTTAGGAAGTGGCCAAGGGGTGATTCGAATCCAGGTATTTTACCCTCAGTTTCTGAGATCTTTCTAGACACCGTGGTGATCTCTTCTACACTACTGAAAATAAAATCTAACGAATATGTTACCCGAGTATTTGTACTTTAGAAGTAAACAGAATCTAACGAATGGGAAGGAGGAGAAAATTTATGGGAATGAGTATGAGGGAAGGCTTATTCTACTTTTCATTTATTCTGAGAATGTCTTGAGCGATTTAAAATGTTACTTCTCTAAAACCACAGTTCTAACAAGAAAATCAACAATTCAGAATGGCTACTTGAGACTTGACGAAGTTGTTAATAAGGTGAAGGCTCAAAGATACACACCAGGGCCTGCTCCTTCATTTATTTCAGCCATTGACTAAGGGGGCGGCGGGGGGCACCGGCAGGTAAAAAGCGGGCTCTCGCGTGGCTGACTCAGTTCATATTCCTGGCACTCGGTGTTCGAGATGCTTCCTTACAGTTGGCATCTCCGTGTGGCGCAGTCTCCATATTTCGCTTATTTTTACCTCAATGTTTTAGTCTCGCTCATGGACACACCACACACAAATACGCCCGTCAAAGCAACGATCGCGCTCAATCTCCTTAAGGCCGGCGATCGTGTTTGGTAGGCAGCCGCCGGGCTTTCACTTTTGGCCACCACAGAAGCCTCTCTCACTGGCCGGTCGGTCGGCGACGCGGTCGCCAATGCCGGGCCGCGTGCCGAGCCGGGAGGTGGCCTCGAACCACGGTGATCCCGGCCACCCGGGGCTGCCCACCCCGCGCGTGGGGGCGTGTGCGGCTTCCGGGCGTCGAGAGCCGGGTGGCGCGGGAAGGGATGACCTCAGACTACCCCGAAGGCCGACCGGAGCGGGCTCCGCGCAAATACGCGAGGCGGTGTCCTGAGGTGACACCGGCTGCATGGCACAAGCAGCAGGCGCCGCCGATCAACTAGCTCGCACCGAGGCTCCCTCTTGGTGCGTGGCCCACTTAGACTGAGGACGGGCTCCAACCCCTCACTGACACCGCCCCCCGCGCAGCCACGCTCCAAGGCCTTCCCGGGGAAGCCTCGCGTCCCTCCCCCGCGGCTCCGGGAGGCGTGCGCGCGCGATTCCTCGATTCCACAGGCGGTTCGAGCCCCGGGTGGGGGCAGGGCGCGCGGGGAGGGGGCTGGCAGCCGCCGCGGGGGGTGGGTCCTGGGCGGGGGCGGGGGCGAGCCGGCGTGGGGAGTTCCTCGCTCGCAGACCACACGCTCTGCGGGCCAATCCGGAGCCAGCCTCTAGCAATGTCGCACGCGGGACACGTCCAAGCGTTTGTAGGCAGAGCTGGTGGGGGAGGGGGCGGGGAGAAGGGAGGGGAATTGAGTGACAGGCTCGCGGGGCAGGCTGGGAATTGTAGTTCCCAGCTTCCGTGGCCATAGCCATTTTGTAGTCGGGAGACTACAACTTCCAGAAGATCAAGGGGACCATTCTAAGGTGCCCCGGGAATAGGCGGCTCTTCCCGGGGCCGGGCGTCCTGGGGCACTCGTACCCAGCAGCCCGGCTGCAGGTAGAGGCGAAGGCAGTGGCGGGGGCTAGCGTGTGGCGGCTGTGGGGTGAGCCGCCAGCTAGGGAAAGGGGGTGAGGTGGAGCGACCGAGCGTGCCATGCATTGAGCTAGGGAGCTTCTCTCAATTCCACTCCAAGGCTCGGCGTGGGAGAGATGCCGGGGGGTTGCCTGGGCAGGGTTCGTCGAGGCCTCTCGGGTGTCTAGTCGACGGGGCTGCGGAGGTCCTCCGGACTGGGCCAGGGGCGGTCGGCGCCCGGGTAGGCGGGCGCCTGGTGGCTCAGCTGTGGGAGTTTTCGGCTAGCGTCCGACGGGGAATTACCCGAGGAGCCCTAACTTGTATAAAAGCAGAGTCCATTTAAAGTTGGGCTGGATAGCCTCTCTCTCATTGGTTAGGGGGCTTGGAAAAAAGAGACTCGGCGAGCTCTCGCTGTGGTGGTGCCGCCGCCGCCGCCGCCGCCGCTGGAGTTGACTCTTCTGCTCGCACTGCTGCTGCAGCACAAACGTGACTTCCAACATTTTTTTATTTATCTTTCCCTTTTCTTTTCCAAGATGTAACTACAGATCAGATGCTAAAGACCTTCACGTTTCGCTGATGTAGTTTTTGGAGGAAAAAAGGGGGGAGTGAAGGGCGTCGGTTTTTTTTTGTGTGTGTGTTTCGGGGAAAATTTTCCATTATGAGTGTTTTACTAAAGTGAAATATTTTTTTTGTTTGCTTCGTTCATCTTTGGCTTTTTTTTTTTTTCTCCTTCCCAATTTCGGATTTATTTCAAGGCGAATCTGGCTTTGGGGGAAGAGGAAGAAAAGTCGGATTACAAGATCAACCACCACCAACAACAATAAAAACCACCAGGATATTTTTTTGCAAATTTCTGACGGCTTTAAATTCATGAAGCAATTGTCCTCTTTTGCAATCAGCATTTGGATCTCAGAATGAGCAAGGAAAGACCCAAGAGGAATATCATTCAGAAGAAATACGTAAGTGCCCTTAACAACACATCCTTTGACTCGCAGTTTTAGGCAATGGCTGTGAATGTCAAGTTTATAGATAATTCTGCAGCTGAAAGGTTTTAAATACAGCGTCCGATAAGGCTGTTTCTTTCTTTTCTGAAAGAGGGCTTTTCAGGGAAAGTCGTGTCTGCCTAGTTTGGTTGAAAAAGCAGATTGGTGTAGAGATACCTCAAGTGAATAAATTGACCTCGGATGACACACCATAATCTAGTTTCAGATGAAAGGCAAGGGATTTTGGTGGTGCTTGGGGGTGGGGGAGGGCTGCGGTAAGGTAACTAAACTGCCTTCTCGGTCGAATTTGGCCCTATATTGCACTTTGCATGAAAATGAGCCTGTGTTGTTATTATTAATGTTATTTGGAAAACCATGTAACGCTAGTGTGTTGGAAGCCTTTTAAGTTGCAGTCGAGAGTCCGATTATGGCGAATCTTGTTCCTTGTACTGGCACATCCAATTTAATGTATGGGGTCGTTTGGGCTTATCTGGTTCGCAACGTAAACCAGTTGGGAATCGTGTTACAGCGAATACATTTGTTGGGATTGACTTTAATAATGGGGCTGGTTTTGTTTAAAAATTCATGGTTTCCAGTTTTAGGGGGAGAAGACACACACTGGCTGTTTTTAAGTATGTGTGTAAATGCATATGCAAGTGACTACAAATAATTACTGCCAGTTAACTGGGCTTCTGAAATTGGCTGGATATTCAGAGATTTAAATGGTTTGGAATAGTTAAATTTGTTTTGTGCATACTACAGCTACATTTTGATTGGCATAGGGAGTGTTTTTGTGTGTGGTGGCCTTTTTTTTTAAGTTTGGGGGGAGGGAGGAGAGAGGGGGACAGAGGGATTAACCAAATATGCGCTCGACTGATCAGTGATGAGCTGCATGCTTTAAATGAAAGAACCTATTTTTTAAAAAGGCCGAATGAGCCTAAATTAAGGATAATGCAACGTTATAAGAAACTTTTATTTAACTCGAGTCGACAAATGGGTGTCCTATTTTCCCTTTTGTGGTGTAGTGGGAGATGACCTTTGGGGCACCGGTTTTGTAAGAAATATATTTAATGGAAAAGCTGAATGCCTCTTCTAGTGGGCTGATCCTAAGGCAGACACTTTAAACTTCAACTCTGAAAGAAATACCAGGTGAAATAATCCAGCCCAACTTAAAATGCTGTTCCATAAAGAATTTACGAATTAAAATACATCCGCATTGCAGAGGGCTGGCTAGAAAGCAAAGGACTAGTTTAAACTCGGGCAGGATAAACTGCCTGTAGACAGCCTTGCTTGGAGCGTGGAAGCCTTCCCGGGGCACGTTCGTTTCGGATGCAGCCACAAAGCAAACTGGGCAGAACTTGGACAGGAACCACCCCCAGCCCAGCCCACCCCAGACCTCGTTAAGTTGCAGAGCAGCGTGGCGTGGGTTTTTTTTGTTGTTGCTCGTCCGCGAGCGGTGTGGCCGCCGGAGCGTGGAGTCCGGGCGGCAGCCACTGGGTCAGTGGCAGCGGCGGCGGGAGGCAGAGCGCGAGTTAACGCTCCGGGAGCGGGGCCCGTGTTCCCGACGTGCTCGAGCCGGTCGGGAGGGAGGGGAAGGAGGGCGCGCGGGGGTCGTCGCGGCCCGGGCCGGGGCTGGCGGCCGCGCGGCCTGTAGG